TTTAACATTTATATAGAAATTTAAGATTAATGATCAAAATATGCATATTTAACTATAATTTTTTTTTAATTAAACCTTTCCATATTTGGTACCGAAAAAGTACTTTAAATAAAAATTGTTCCAACAATTTACTATTAAGTGCCGTTTTTCCGTATTTTTCATTTTTAATATCCTTGTATTTGTTACATAGTTACTCCTCTCCTGCATGCAATTACAAATCACCAAACACACATTTATTTTATAGATGTTAGCATGTGTGTCTTTATGAGAATATGTGTGTTAACAAATGAGCATGTATTAGTAAGACTTATAACAAGGAAAAAATATATACATATATAAATATGACTTCTATACTCATTTATTTTCTATTTTTTGCTTTCTCGTGTCCCCCGACAAAATGTTAGAGACTCAAAAAGTAGATATAAAAGAAGTATCAGAGAGAAATATATAAGAAACTTAAATAAAATTGTTCATATATTCATACTGTTGTCATATTTCATGATTATAATAATTTGTATTTTTATTACCATTTGGAGTATATTACTTGTACTTATAAACATACTTGCATTTAGCTTTTTCACTTTTTTTCTCATACTTTACTAAAGCCAAAATTACACCACATGATGCTTAAATAAAAAAACTTACATACATACAAACTACTGCTACTCATACTTTAAAAACAATTTTAGCTAATACTACTACTACTATGAAAACAAACTTAATATTACTAATACTAACAGCAACCAAAAATTCCAGCATCCTTTAGCTGTAAAAAAGTAATGTTTGCTTTTTTCTCTCTATAGCGTTTAGTACTTGTACCTATAATGAAAATATGTAAAAAAAGCACAAAATTGTGATAAAGTTTTCGTGTTGTCATTATAAATGTCACACTAACAGGTTATTAGTACAAGTATGTATCGGTTATAAAATGCTTGTTGTTTATTTTGGCAACAAAAAAATTGCTAAAGACACATTATGCTTGCTTTACTGTAAATACAACTTGTAAAATCATAAAAAAATATTGTTCCTGTGGAAGAATTTTTAACAGACATTTTTCCATTTTGAGTAATCTATAAGTAATATTGTGCATGCTTATACCGACAAGTGGCAAGGGCAGCTTAGAGGGCTTTTGGTATGTGGAAATAGGCATACGATTATGAACGCAACTATAGGCGGAAATGGTGTAACACTTAGAAAAAATACTTCTAATGTTATGCTTATGTTGTCGAGTTATATTCAAAATTTTTTTCACAATCGAACTGAGAAATTATCCAAAAAACCTTGACCACAGGGTTTTGAAAATTTCCCTGCTATGTGCTCCACACATTTTCCGGCTATGTGCTCCACACATTTGAGCAGATTTTATAAATCAAATTTTTTTAAAGTATGTGTGGCTTTCGGTAGATTAGGTTAGTGCTCTAGTCCGGTAAACAGGAGGTCGTGGGTTCAACTCCAAGCTAACAGGCATTTGTGTAGTTCAAACCAACTAACTAACTAACTAACTAACTAACTAACTAACTACTAACTAACTAACTAACTACTAACTAACTAACTAACTAACTACTAACTAACTAACTAACTACTAACTAACTACTAACTAACTAACTAACTAACTAACTAACTAACTAACTAACTAACTAACTAACTAACTAACTAACTAACTAACTAACTAACTAACTAACTAACTAACTAACTAACTAACTAACTAACTAACTAACTACTAACTAACTAACTAACTAACTAACTAACTAACTACTACTAACTAACTAACTACTAACTAACTAACTAACTAACTACTACTAACTAACTAACTAACTAACTAACTAACTAACTAACTAACTAACTAACTAACTAACTAACTAACTAACTAACTAACTAACTAACTAACTAACTAACTAACTAACTAACTAACTACTAACTACTAACTAACTACTAACTAACTAACTAACTAACTAACTAACTAACTAACTAACTACTAACTAACTACTAACTAACTAACTAACTAACTACTAACTACTAACTAACAACTAACTAACTAACTAACTAACTAACTAACTAACTAACTAACTAACTAACTAACTACTAACTAACTACTAACTAACTAACTAACTAACTAACGAACTAACTACTAACTAACTAACTAACTAACTAACTAACTACTAACTAACTACTAACTACTAACTACTAACTAACTAACTAACTAACTAACTACTAACTAACTAACTAACTAACTAACTAACACTAACTAACTAACTAACTAACTAACTAACTAACTAACTAACTAACTACTAACTAACTAACTAACTAACTAACTACTAACTAACTACTAACTAACTAACTAACTACTAACTAACTAACTAACTAACTAACTAACTAACTACACTAACTAACTAACTAACTTAACTAACTAACTAACTAACTAACTAACTAACTATAACTAACTAACTAACTAACTAACTAACTAACTAACTAACTAACTAACTAACTAACTAACTAACTATAACTAACTAACTAACTAACTACACTAACTAACTACTACCTAACTAACTAACTAACTACTAACTAACTAACTAACTAACTAACTAATACTAACGAACTAACTAACTACTAACTAACTAACTAACTAACTAACTAACTAACTAACTACTAACTAACTACTAACTAACTAACTAACTAACTACTAACTAACTAACTACTAACTAACTAACTAACTAACTAACTAACTAACTAACTAACTAACTAACTAACTAACTAACTACTAACTAACTAACTAACTAACTACTAACTAACTAACTAACTAACTAACTAACTAACTAACTAACTAACTAACTAACTAACTAACTAACTAACTAACTACTAACTAACTAACTAACTAACTAACTAACTAACCTAACTAACTAACTAACTAACTAACTAACTACTAACTAACTAACTAACTAACTAACTAACTACTACTAACTAACTAACTAACTAACTAACTAACTAACTAACTAACTAACTAACTAACTAACTAACTAACTAACTACTAACTAACTAACTAACTAACTAACTAACTAACTAACTAACTAACTAACTAACTAACTAACTAACACTAACTAACTAACTAACTAACTAACTAAAATTTTTTCAAAATCGAACTGAGAAATTATCCAAAAACCTTGACCACAGGATTTTGAAAATTTCCCTGCTATGTGCTCCACACATTTTGCGGCTATGTGCTCCACACATTTGAGCAGATTTTATAAATCAAATTTTTTTAAAGTATGTGTGGCTTTCGGTAGATTAGGTTAGTGCTCTAGTCCGGTAAACAGGAAGTCGTGGGTTCAACTCCAACCTAACAGGCATTTGTGTAGTTCAAACCAACTAACTAACTAACTAACTAACTAACTAACTAACTAACTAACTAACTAACTAACTAACTAACTAACTAACTAACTAACTAACTAACTAACTAACTAACTAACTAACTAACTAACTAACTAACTAACTAACTAACTAACTAACTAACTAACTAACTAACTAACTAACTAACTAACTAACTAACTAACTAACTAACTAACTAACTAACTAACTAACTAACTAACTAACTAACTAACTAACTAACTAACTAACTGGAATTCTGGAACACTTTATATGTCCTTTCATCGAAATTTTATTCAAATATCTCGAAAGTAATGTTATTCCAGTTACTACATCCCTCAGGAACGCTAAGTGGAAATTTCCAATGAATTAGGTCCAGGAAACTGTTTTTGTAAACATTGGTTTCCATGAAAATTCTCCTAGAAAATCCCGGCAGAGCGTGAATCTCTAATATTTTCTAAAAGCAACAAATTTTATTTAATAATTTTTTTTTTCTAAAAAAAAAACTTTTTTCTTAAAAAATCCAAAACAAAATAAATTAACCACAATATTTTCTCTAAGTCCAATTAAGTCCTTCCTGCACACACACACACACATGTGATATAGTAGCTTGTATTAATGCATGTATTAGTGATTTTGTGTGTGTTTTAAGAGAATAACTTGGTGTATTGGTGTTGTTTTGCTGGTTATTGAAACAATTGCGTAAATTTTGTTTTAAGCTGAAATTATAGCTGTATATATGTATGTACACATACTAAGTGAATGTAAGAGTATGAGAAAGGGTGTATATAACAATTTTGCCAAGTATTGAAAGCAACAGAAAAAACCCCCTCTAACAAACCAATTGAGCTGACTAAAGTAAGAAATGACTTAAGTCATCATAAAGTATGGTATTATGTGGTCTTTTGAAGGTTATACAACAAGAACTGCATATATACACAAATGCTCGTACATACATAAATAAATATCTTAAACATACATATCGTTTATTTACCACAAGACTGGTATAACCCTATAAGTACAATTTCCAAAAAAAAGCTTTAAATGAAATTATAGGAAATAGCTAAAACTTTATAAAAGAGTTTAAAACCTTGTCTAATTTGTTCAGAACTCAGTTCAAGAAAATGAAATCCTGAGTTGTGCCAGTCTAGCAGTAAATGAGCGATATGTATAATGTAAACAAGCGTCAGTGTAAGCACATAAACCTTCTAAATGTAAAAGTAGCTTAATTTGGCAATTCATGTTAATTTCTTGTTGCGTATTTATGAAGCACTCCTTTGCTCTTTCGCATATGTTGGTAATTAAAGTCAAATGATGGTAAATCACTGAAATAATATTCTTCCTCGCATTCGGTCTAAGACTTACATACATAACTGCATAAAAGGTAATAAAATTGCTAAATAGTCTTATATAAATACCAACATCACACATACATATGTACATATTTATTACTTAGTTTATATTTAAGAGTATAAATACATATATTTATGTATATTAATGTTGCCTACATTTGGGAGTCTTAAATACTAATATTTGCAGACAGACTTTTAGGTAGATGCAGAGTTTATTAATCATTTTAAATGACTTTTAATGTTAAGCAATTTTTCTTAATTATTATTTTTATTTTCTTTCACTTGTAGATTGTTAATGAATATACCGATTGGGATCGGGCCTCCCAGCATCCCATTAATACACGTGATACTGCCGTGGCCGCTTTATCAGATGCTCAATTTGTGGCTCCACTTATAAGAACAGCTGATATCTTTGCTGCCAATTCCCCGCCACCCATGTCGGGCGGTGGTTCAGGTGGTGGTACTGCTTCGGCTTCTACTCAATATCCAGGACAATCTGGTCGTTGTTATTTCTATGTCTTCGATTATCAAACCAAAGATGGTGATTATCCTCAGCGTATGGGTACCGTGCATGGTGAGGATTTACCCTATATTTTCGGTGCTCCTCTGGTAGATGGTTTTAGCCATTTTCCTCAGAATTACACCAAATCAGAAATAGCCTTGTCGGAAGCGGTCATTACATATTGGACAAATTTTGCCAGAACGGGGTAAGTGCTTGTGTTGTAAACATTACAACAAATTTTAACACCTTTTTCTACTCTGTTAAAAAATTACACTTTGCTCAAAAATTCTTCACGGTTTGTTGAATTTCAAGTAAGAACAACAAGTTTGTTGTGTTCTTGTTTTTAGTCTTCATTGTTTATTACACAATTTCAACTAGATTCTAGATACTTTTCTGGTATTTAAGTATATAGGACTGCAGTTCTATTTCAAGCCTATTTAAACATTAGAAACAATAAGACAAAAAAAACATTACAAATTGTCTTTTTGTTTTACAAACGTAACAAAGCAAAAACGGCAAAACAAAGAAAAAAACATGTGGCAATTTTTACATTTATCTCAACAGCAACAACTTTAAGTGGGAAATAACACACATCAACAACATCGTCAAGTAGTTTAAGTGTTTTCCATTTTTCCATTTAGTATCTGTTTTGTTTATGTTTTTTTGTTATTTCACTTTTACAATATAAATTCAAACAAAATGTTATCATCATCATCACTAACATCAACATCATCATTGTTCTCATCATATTATTACGTATAATTTGCCAACAAACATGTGAGGAAATTTAGCTGCAACATATAAAAAAACACCAACAAGAACTCAATAGATGTTGTAAATGACAATGGCAACAAGAGCAGCAACTAACTAGTTTTTTTCATACATAATTCCCCCTTTTTTGCTGTTGTTGTGCAACATTTAAACATTCGTATTCAAATGTACATTTAATTTGTCACTTTTATTATTGTCTCTTTTGTTGTTGTATTCAACAAGAGGCAAAAAATTATGCCATTGAAAATGCTAACAGGGAGAAAAATGAATTTGCAATTAAAAAGCATAAAATTTACATAAATACATATGTATAGATACATACATATGTATGTATATAAAAATGTGGTATGAAAAATGCTTTAAAAACTTTTTATATTAAAACAAAATCAGATTTTTCTACACAGAAAGCTTTTTTACAAAGAATTTTTTCTCATTATAAACAAGTAAGAAATTATAGTCGGGCGAGGCCGACCATATAATACCCTACACCTTTGACAAAAATATAATGTGATTTAGTTGCCATAATAAGCATTTAAGTTGAATTGTACCTTGCCTTAGATATACATACTTAAGCCGTTTATTGTTGAATAAAATTGTGGACATTTAAGTGAAATTTTGATGGGGGCTTTTCATAGGGGCTAGGGTCATATGAGAACCTATTATTATGGAATTCGTGGGGGTCATCAAGTCTTGTATACAACTTGGTTATTGCAGCTTTTTGTCGAGATATGAGTATATTAAACATAATTATGAACTTAAAAGCCCTATTCGGCGGATTCAGTTGTATGGGGGCTAGGTGAAATAATGGACCGATGGTAACCATTTTCAATAGGCTTCGTCTACGGTACCATAAAAGATCATGTGCCAAATTTCATTGAATTATCTCCAAAATTGCTACCTGTAGTTTGATTACAAGTTTTAAAAGCCCTATTCGGGGTTTCAGTTGTATGGGGGCTAGGTGAAATAATGGACCGATGGTAACCATTTTCAATAGGCTTCGTCTACGATACCATAAAAGATCATATGCCAAATTTCATTGAATTATCTCCAAAATTGCGACCTGTAGTTTGATTACAAATTTTAAAAGCCCTATTCGGGGGTTCAGTTGTATGGGGGATAGGTGAAATAATGGACCGATGGTAACCATTTTCAATAGGCTTCGTCTACGATACCATAAAAGATCATGTACCAAATTTCATTGAATTATCTCCAAAATTGCGACCTGTAGTTTGATTACAAATTTTAAAAGCCCTATTCGGGGGTTCAGTTGTATGGGGGATAGGTGAAATAATGGACCGATGGTAACCATTTTCAATAGGCTTCGTCTACGATACCATAAAAGATCATGTACCAAATTTCATTGAATTATCTTCAAAATTGCGACCTGTAGTTTGATTACAAGGTTTACATGGACGGACGGACGGACGGACGGACAGACGGAAGAACAGACAGACGGACATAGCTAAATCGACTCAGAAAATGATTCTGAGCCGATTGGTATACTTTAAGGTGGGTATAGGACCAATATTATTGTGCGTTACAAACATCAGCACAAACCCAATATACCCTCCCCACTAAAGTGGTGTAGGGTATAAAAAGTTTATACAAAAAAGTTCATTACAATAAAAGTTCAATTCGTATAAAAAACTTATCTCATAGAAAAATGTTCATAAAAATACGCCAACGATCCATTTTAAAATAAATAAATTTTATCAAAAAAGCTTCAAAGAAATTATTCTCAAAACAAATGATACTTTATATGAAAGCTTTTTTCAATGAAAGCTTTATCAGGCAAAAAGCTAATAACAAAACCTTTAAGACCAAACACTTCCAAGAATTAAACTTTTCAAGAAAGTTTCTCACACTAAGAGCTTTTATTATAAATAAATATAATAAGAGAACACTCAGTTTTTCCTCAAGAATTAAAAATGTTCTATAAAAAGGCTTTTCCGTATATGTTTCACATACAAAAATTTAAGAAAATAACAGCTTTTACCAAAATCCAAAGTTAAAAAAAAAACAACAAATATGTTTAAAAATTTGTTTAATAATAAAACTTTTACCTTTAAACTTTTGGTTTTTCCATAAAAATTAAAAATATTTTACTAAAAAGCTTTTATGGTGTAACTTTCTCTACCAAATTAAAAGCTCCAACCATAAAGCTTTAATAATTTTTTTTGAAATAGAAGAGCTTTAAACACTTAAATAAAGCTTCCCTTAAATATTTATTTTATGGAGTATAAAGCTTTTATGAAAAGTAAAGCGTTTTTTCAATAACTTAGTAATAAAGCTTACCAAAAACAAAGCTTTTTCTTTTTCATAACATTTTTTGGCATAGAAAAGCTTAAATAAAGTTTTCCTTACATATTAATTTTATGGAACATAAAGCTTTTGTGAAAAGTGAAGCTTTTTTTAAAAGCTTATTAAAAAGCTTCTCTTAAAATTTTTACAAAATTTCTCTAAATAGTTTTTTTTAGTTTTCTTTTTTATAAAATATTACATTGAAAATTAGAATTAATTCAAAATATTTATGCAACCATTTAACAAATAATAAATAATTATTGCATAAAAAACTTTATAATTTACTGGAAAATTTTCTCTTTAATTGCCAGTGGGATATTATATGGTTGTTTTTACAAAGAAATTGCAGTTTTCTTACTTATTAACAGGGCAACCGAAATATGGAGTTAAAATAAAAACATATTTTAATTGTTTATTCCTTTCGTATAACTCACACCAACAAAATATAAAAAAAGTCAAAACCAAAAGACCAAAGAATATCTCCATCACATCAGATTTTCCAGATCTAGTGTCCTAAATTTTGAAAAAATACGTTT